TGGATGTAAGGAAGAAATTCTTCACTATGAGGGTGGTGAGGCACTGGAACAGGTTGCCCAGAGAAGCTGTGGAGGCCCCACCCCTGGAAGTGTTCAAGGCCAGGTTGGATGGGGCTCTGAGCAACCTGATCTGGTTAGAGATGTCCCTTCTTACTGCAGGGGGGCTGGGCTAGATGATCGTTGAAGGTCCCTTCCAACCCAAAGCATTCTATGACTCTATATTATTCCTCATCCCCATTCCCTTGAAGACCCTCTGAATGATGTCTGACAGTGTCGGTTGCATTTTTAGGACCAATTCTATATTATTCCTCATCCCCATTCCCTTGAAGACACTCTGAATGATGTCTGACAGTGTCGGTTGCATTTTTAGGACCCCAAACATTGATCGCCTGGCAAAGGAAGGAGTGAAACTGACCCAACACATCTCTGCGGCTCCACTTTGCACCCCCAGCAGAGCAGCTTTCCTCACTGGCAGATATCCCCTCCGATCAGGTTTGCCTCGCAAAACCAAGCAGCCTTTAAACATTGCTTCATTACTGAAGGGAACAATGTCACACAATGGGCACAAAAGAAATGAGGGTGTGCAAACAGAAGGGGTGCCACAGAGATGTCATCCCTCACTGAGGCACACAAAGACACACCACCTAGATCTAGTGCCTTTGAGATGGCATCTACATTTATGGGGTGCAATGAACCGACCTGGGGCAGAGAAGAACCAGCTTGAAACTTTGGTCGCATTTTGGTGCTCTATTGCACAGATTGCAGCCAGAACAGATTTAGTACAAATTGTTACATTCAAAAAAGTCATTACACAGAACATGAATAATAATAACACATTTCTAAAGCACTAGTTATATTAATTTCTGTCATGGGTGACTCCTCATCAGATATCAGAAAAAGCTCAGCCCTGCAGGGAGCAGATCTATGCAGATGTGTCTCCATTCCCTCCAGTCGAGGTGCAGAACAAGTCATTTACAGGAAAGCTTTGTTACCTATGTGTCAGAATTCATCTGTACTCTGAAATAACAGTTTGACAGCTATATTATTTTTCCCAGTTCTGTTTTTAAAGAAGAAATGCTATCCTGTCAAACTGCATCCCTGAGATGAAGAGATATGAAAAACAAATAGCTCTACATGTTTCTAATAGTGACTCTCTAACACTTGTTCTATTGCAAATGATCTTCAGTACCTTCATTCCTGAGGCATTTTGAAGCTGATATGTCATCCTTCTTTTATCATGACAGCTCCCACTGAGATAGATAGCTTGAAAACGCGCATGAGCTTGTACAGACTCTCTCTGACTATAACAACAGGGCCAGAGACATTCACCACTTCCATGACAGATTGTACTTCATGTTATGTTGCATGATGGGGTTACACCAGTATATAATGCTAAATAACAGGGTGTAAGCCCGCAGGTGAGGAGAAGGTTATGGTGCTAGATAGCTACTCTGTGGGTTCCAGAAATCAGATACCAGCCATGCCACCGTGCAAGGAAACCTTGCATTCCCAGGCAGCCTTATGCAAGCTGGAGCGTGAGGCTGACAGAGGGCTGAAGTCTCCCTACCATCCTCCCTGACCTCACAGTCACACTAAGTAAGTGCACTTCATACAGCCTGGATGCCATTGTGACATATAAAAGCTCCTATACAACTGGGCCATTCCAAATAAAATAAAATAAAATATCTCATTATGAGATACAAAGATGAACAGGCATTATGTAATGGAGAGACTTAATTCTTTCTTATTCTTGCCCAGTGTCCTAGATTAATTTCCCCAAACAAACAGCACTAGGATAAACATTTAACTCTGTAATACCAATGAAACCAGGAAGCAAGGAAATGTGTTTGATAAAAGTACTCTACCAGTTATACTTACTAAGATTATTTATTATTGTACTTTCTAGGGATGGATGCCATAAACCATTACCGTGTTATTTTTTGGAATGCTGGCTCAGGAGGGCTTCCTCCGAATGAAACCACTTTTGCCAAAATACTGCAGCAGCAAGGCTACAGCACAGGACTGATAGGTATGGGGACACTCCTGAAGATGGCCTAGAATGTGTTTCACCTGCACATCTTACTCAAGTCATTTGTTTTAGTTAGCAACTGCTCATACCTCAATTGTAATATTTTTATTTCCTGATTTAAGAATATCTTGTAAGAAGAAATCCAGACCAAAAATAGTCTCTTAACAGAACAAGCATCTGATAAAAAGAATAATCTTTACTGTTGACCTTCCTTCAAGCACAGCTGTGGTTGTTAAAATATATAATGTTAATATTTCTTGAATACTATGCTACCAGGTATATAATAATTTTTCCAATGCTATTTCATAAAAAACAAAAACATGAGTTCCTTTTAAATATGCATGCCAATGCTTTACACAGCTCAGAGAAGATTCACAACAAAAGGGAACAGCCGCTACTTAAAACAATAGAGCCAGTTCATAACATCACAGGATTTGGCCTTTCAAAAACAAAAACAGAGCAATTATTTTTTTCTTTAATTGCAGCTTGCCACTAAGGTTCCCCAAGATTTCAGTACAGCCCAGAAAACATTGCCTCCTTCGCAATTAATAAGAATTCCATTTTACTTTATATTTTACACGGCTTTTTTGTAATACAGTTGTAACTTTTGGTCATGATCCAGCTGCACATATTTATTTATTTTAGGTATGTCACATAGTTCCACAGACTGATAAAACACAAACGTTCCTGAGCTGAATTTTAAGCTATTTGCCCTACCTCATCTGAGCATCTAAATGTCAATATCCAAAATCTATGTCTGACACATAAAAATATTTGCTGCACAAATAAACTAAATTTACTAATAAAAGTGTCTGCAGGAATGGATTTGTATCCATATAGGACAATACTAAATGAAGCTCTCCAAGTATTTTAAGTCCTATATTAATGAATCTTCTTCTCCTGTTGGTTTTAAAGCTATATTATTTCAGTTCTTTCAATCAGCTCATAAAAAAGCCCACATCTATTAGCCACATGCTTCAGCTTGGCCTCAGCACGTAATCACTAACAAAACATGGTGGATTTGTCTCCACTTTGCCAAAAGAATTGCCCTGCAGGGAGATTGTGCTGCACCCCTCCTAGAAGCTAGCTAGCACAATGAGCTGGCATTTTCCCTGTGGGCATCTCAGCTAAGATCACACTATAGGCACCAAGAGCATCAATTAGTTTAACTGGATTGATAGATTCTGATTAATTGCACCTTAGGGGATGATGGAAAGCACTGGTGATAAATGACACACAAAAAAAACTATAAGAACAACTTTACATTCAAGTCACGAAGCAAGAACCCTTACAAAACATCTACCCACATCACCACAGCTGAATGAGCACTCAATAGACTCACCTGAAGGGTTTGTGATTGTTTTCCTCTGAGCACAACCAGTTTAATTGCAGAGTTAAATCCTATTAATAACCTGCAGCTCGATATGATAATGAGACTTTTTGTTGGGAAATGCTTTGCAGATTAGTTGTAGTCAGAAAGCCAATGTTGTATAACATATGCCCTCAAAGATTAATTTATCTTAATTATACACTTAGTTTATCTTCTGGAGATTTGAGTCTTCTGTAGCATGTCAGAAGCCTTTATCGGCCTCAGCTGGAGATTTAGGTGTTGGAGTGCATCTGAAGTCCAAGGGTACTTTAGCTGTACCTGTATTTATGACCAATGCACCTACATATCGATTACAAACCTGTTTCATTGTATCACTGGCTCTAAATATGTTAAGAGGTAAACTGAGCAGAGATTTTAGCTGAAAGCAATTCATTGAGCTAGAATAGAACTTTCACTCTTTCTTTATATTTATATCCAAAAAGCAGCAATTTTTTTCCTCTGAAGTAGTTTTTTTCTGCTCAGGGTTGGCTGCTATTCACTAACATAGTGAACCATTTGTTTAGGATAATATCCTTCCATAAGTACACAGTTCTTTACTCCACAATAAGAATTAGTTGCAAATTAGTTTTCAGGTAAAATTCTAAAAGTTCATTTTGATCTATAGATCTAGTATCCAAGGCCTGCATTACATCAGAGGTCATAAAATGCAGTTAAACTGCATCTCTCTGATGAAAAGTAGATTTTGGTCACTTGATTCAGATATTGACAAGCCTCAGTGTTTGAGCCAAATGAGCCAACTTGTTATATCTCTTTGTAAGTGCCTAACCAGTCTGTTTGAATAGACTGGAGGGAAGCAAAAGCATGGTTTTGATGTGCTATTCATCACAATAGTGGACATATGTTCATAATAAAGAGCAACTTGTATTGCAAAAGGTCAGAAGATGTTCCTTTTGATACATGAAGACTTCAGAATTTAAAAGAAGGCGGCTTTGACTTTCAAATTTGATGAAATACAAATAAATGGCAAAAATACTTAATAAAACAAGGTGGTTTATTCTCATCCAGTATGCGGAGATATTATTATCAGCAAAGTTACTTACATATGTACAGCTTCATGAGAAATCCTGATCTCCTGAGCTCAGGTTCTTCTGGATCTGCTGGTTGGTCTGGCAAACCCACTGTTGAGCTGCCAGTTACTTGACTACACTGTCCATAGTCTCCCTTATCAGTCTGGCATCAACACATCACTGTGTGTTGCCATAGTCCTGACTTCAAGATGTTCAAAACTTTCCAGAAACAAGTCTGCATAGCTTCTTGAAGGTAAAGAGACAACAGAACAATGTTATTTTGCCCTCTGCTTACTAAAGGACTTTTTCCTCCTATTTCATACCTGACAGGTCTCCAGGACGGCTATACATTTTTGGTCAGTTCTGAAAAAGTGATTTTTTTCTCAGTTTCTAGTTCCCTTTGTAGTCCAGTTTTTTACATTTGATCAAAGCTACAGGGCATGAATATGTGTACAGAGCACCAATAACTATTGGAAATTTATAATCTGTAGAGGTTTACTCTCATCAATCGTAAGATATATCCCATTATATCACTACATACTGAGTATATATGTGTAGGATGAAGAAGTTATCACAAGTAGGAACCAACCATTTTTTGATAAATGTTTTGTACAAGGAAAAGCCCATTTTTAAATATTATCTCTTTACGATTTAATAATCTGTATTTTCAGGGAAGTGGCACCAAGGACTTAACTGTGAATCCCGCAACGACCATTGTCATCACCCTTTAAACCACGGGTTTGACTATTTTTATGGGATGCCTTTTACACTAATAAGTGACTGCCAACCAACGGAAACACCAGAGATGGACAGAGTCTTTAGAAGGAAACTCTGGCTTTACACTGAGATGATTGGCCTCGTTACACTCACCGCTGTCCTAGGAAGACTGACCGGCTTGATTTCAGTCCGCTGGAAAACGCTGACCTGCCTTGCTGGGTTTAGTCTCCTGTTCTTCGTATCCTGGTTCTCAAGTTACGGGTTTGTACGATACTGGAACTGCATTATGATGAGAAACCATGAAGTTACTGAGCAGCCAATGGTGACAGACAGGACTACGTCCCTTATCTTGAGAGAGTCCATTTCATTTATTGAAAGGTAAAGTGTGTTTCCTTTGATCACATTTTTTCTGCTCCTTGCATGTCTTGCAACTTTTAAACTGCATTTTCCCATGGAAGTCTTAATAACTTTTATAATATTATATAGGATTATAAGTACCTTTATGCCTACTAATTATTAATAATATTAATAATGATATCACATTATTAAACAAAAAAATTAGCTGCTGCTTAAGGATGTCTGTTATTCCTAGCTTCACTAAAGCTGATAACATTTCCAAATTTCCACATGTTGGATTGAATATTTCCAGGCTATTTTGAGGAAATACATAATTCTATCAATGGGATCAACATTGCAGCCTTGAGAGATAGCAGCTGATGGCAGAAATGTGTGTGTGGGCTGGGGAAGAAGGAGAGCTGTGAGGCAGCCTTATCAGATGGACTGACTGACATGTGGGCAACAGCTGGCAGGAGATGAACCTGCTGCCTTCATTTCAGTAGCACTGTAGTGGTTTGCAATAGCAGAAAGTGGAGCTTCAATCTAAAACTTCTCCATGTATGATTCAGGGAATAAGGAGGGTAATTTTATATAGGCCAAACATTTTTTCAGTCAGATTCTAATCACTGGATTTTAATACCTTACAAAGTAAGATGTTTCTGAAGTGATTGTTCAAATATATATAGACACAAATCATAATATCATTTTCCATTATGACTGACCTCTGTATGTATTGAGAACCTTCCTCCCTAATAACAAAGTGTTGATTTCTGTTTTTTAGAAATAAGCACAAGCCATTCCTCCTCTTTCTTTCCTTTTTACACTCCCACACCCCTCTTCTCACCACAGAGAAGTTTCTTGGGAGGAGCAGCCATGGTTTATATGGAGACAATGTAGAGGAGATGGACTGGATGGTGGGTAAGTCACCATAGCAAATAACAATGTCTCCAACTACCTATGTCTGAATATATAATAAAAATGCAGTCATTTTTAAAAGAACAAGGAAGAGAATTAAAAACAAGAAGGAAAAAAGTCGTAAGCTTTTCATGAAGATCTATCAGTCTTGTATGAGCACTGTTGGCTTATAGTGTTGGCATTTTATTTTCTCCTGGACTGGACTAAATACATCTTTCTGTTCACTCAGGTTTTTTGTCTAGCATTTACCAGCTTTAACCATGTCCCATTGGCTCCTGTCAAGGAGCTCTCCTGCTCTTCTTACTAAATACTACATGAACTGAGAATTATTTAGTTTTCTGTGATCATTGAAGATCAGGTAATTTCAGCCTCTTATGGTCATGCCTATCTATTTCTAAGTAGGACGCATCAGAAGGTGATAAAACTGACAAGCAAATTAATTCCAGGTGTAAACCAACAGGTTCTTTCTCTGTGATTGCTGCATTCAGCAGAGTACTGTATTTTTCAGCCCATGCACAAATCCAGAAATGTTTGCAAATGTTAATTGATATGCCCCCCGAAATTAGATTCATGTCATTTTTCAGTCTGTTTTCTGGTGGGGAAGGAGATTTATTTATCACCCAGTCATGGCGGAGGAAAAGTAGCCACATTTGCAAAAGGGATAAGAATCAGGTACACATACAGAAAGAATTGGTTTTCAAACCTACCTATCAAAGAGTTACACACCACAAATACAATTAAGAACATCAGAAACAGCTCGAGAATTACTTGTAAATAAAAAAGAACTATATTATTAATGCATATTATAACCAGCCAGTAATTTAATGCAAATACTAACTGTGGTCTAGACAATATAAGATAAGGATACATGACATCTTTTCCTCATTCCTCATGACGGCCATTATGTGTGTAGAATCTAACCTTTTTGGGGGCCTTGGATCATTCTTTCTTTCCATATTTTTACAGCACACGGCACTTCTGCCCTTTACAATACAGGCTTCTGGTCTGTGACTGTGGTTCTTGCACTCCTTTGTGATAAATACTAATAATAAAAGGGTTACAGCATACCACAAATTTTCTGTGCTTTTACAGACAGTGAAATCACAACTACAAATCTCAATCCTAAAAACCTCTTCTTTCAAACAATGAGCAGCCCTACATAGATAAGAAATTACATTGATGGATGTTTACAAGTCAGAGGCTAAAATTAATGTAGTGTAAGTGATAGTTTTGCTTTTTAATTCACACATATTTCTGTGTTTACAGGCCAGGTTCTAGATGCTATTGACAGGGAAGGCTTGAAAAATACTACACTAATTTACTTTGCTTCTGATCATGGTGGATGGCTGGAAAGAAAAGAAGGCAAAAGGCAGCTGGGCGGCTGGAATGGAATATACAGAGGTAAGAGCTGCCAGGGACGGTGACAACCAAGTGAAGTTCTCAGGACACCACTAAATCTTAGATAAGACTGTACGCTCAAGGAATAACAATGTTTTATCCATGAGAAGCAAATCGGTCTCATTCTAATCAGGCATTTAAAAAATTACACAATTCTAGCATGTGCAGGTGTTCTTTACAAGCGTGAATTCTCAGACTGGCATTTCCTCATGAGGCAACTGATCACAAGTTAATTTGGATTAGTATTGTGTAACTTCTCATTAAATATTAGTCGCATCTTCCATCTGAACCCTTGCTTTAACTGCAACAGGTATGTTATAGAATTGTAAAAGAAAGAGGAGAACTAGGCTGGGAAATCACTTTATGCCTGAAAATTTTATCCACGCTGAGTTCTGATGGAGCAATGTAAAACGATAGAAGGGAGTGTGTAAGGTCAGTCAAGAGGTCTGATATAGTGAACACACTTTCACTTATGCTGAGGAGAAGGAGCTTAGTGGTATAAACAAAAAGGGTAAGGAAGGCTCATAAAGGTAATATTAGACAGCTTATGATAGTACAATAACTTTTGTCTAAAATTTCTCTGTTTTAAATGAAACATTTCTTTTAACGAAAATTTATTAATTTTTCTTATGAAAGGTGGAAAAGCTATGGGAGGCTGGGAAGGAGGAATCCGAGTCCCAGGGATATTTAGATGGCCAGGAGTGTTACCTGCAGGCACAGTTATCGATGAACCTACAAGCCTTATGGACATTTATCCTACAGTAGTTCATCTGGCTGGAGGGGTGCTACCCCAGGACAGGTACCAACACAAGTGTCTTTATTCCTCCTTCTCTCCCAAGACAATGGAAAATCTAGTTTGGAAACACATTCTGAGTCTGACATTTTCTTTTTCACTCCTGCTCCTTTTCTAGACACATAAATGTTACCCCAGCTCAGTCACCCTTTCTCTACATTTGAGATTCAGTATCTACCTTCAATCTTCTACAAGCATCTCCCTCATTCCAAGTTGCCAGTTCCAGCAAGAAGTGTGCAGAGGGAACGTAGTCCTGTACAGCTTACCCCAGTCTGATGGTCTCCGTTTTTTCTGCTAGGGTAATTGATGGCCGGGATCTGATGCCTTTATTGCGAGGAACAGTTGAGCACTCAGAGCATGAGTTCCTGTTTCATTACTGTGGCATTCACTTACATGCTGTGCGGTGGCACCAGAAGGACAGTGAGTACAGAACTTCTTTCACAGGAATTAGGTTCAATCTATAGGAGGGCAGATTTGTCTCATGCATTTTTTCTGGGATTGCAGCTTTCCAAGTAGTTCCAGGTGTCAGGTGGTAAAGAACTCACTAGCATTGCCTGTATTGTATGGCACAAAAAGTTTGTTCGTGGCTTCAAGGCACATGGCATGCTGGGCAGGCTACTGGAGCTCAGGATGGGTCTCACCCACCTCTCTATCTGAATGCAAGACCTAGGGAGTCCCTGCCCTCCTTGTCTCATGCAGAAGTCTTTGCCTCAGTCCTTTGTCTGTCCTTCCGCTACCTTAACAAGGAAGCAAGCCATGGAAACCCCAAATCTTTTTTTTCATGTCTTCATAAAAAACAAAGTCAGGAATAACTGACACTTGCTGAAAATTTTGGAGAAATTGTCAAACATCAGAAATCATTTTACATTATTGGTTTAATTCTGTGGCACTTAATTTTAAATGAAATTACAATACTATATCAACTAATAAGTGTAGAGCTGAAATGCAACCAGAAATGAACTCTAGAAAAACATTCGCTCTTCTAATGCCTTGTGATAACCACCAGCGATCCTTCTTTCTTTCCTGCCAGGTGGAGCCATCTGGAAGGCTCATTATGTGACCCCTGTCTTCCATCCACTCGGGGCTGGGGCTTGTTATGATAGAGGATTTTGCCCATGTTTTGGGGAAGGTGTGACCCATCATGACCCTCCGTTGCTGTTTGATCTCTCGCGAGACCCTTCTGAAGCCAAACCTCTGTCGGCTGACCCCGCGCTCTTTCACACTGTAATAAGGAAGATTGGAAGAGCCATAGAAGAGCATCGCAGGACGCTGACTCCAGTCCCAGAGCAGCTCTCCTTGTACAATGTCGTGTGGAAGCCGTGGCTGCAGCCATGCTGTGGGACGTTCCCATTCTGTTGGTGTGATAAGGAAGGTGATAATAAACTTGCTGACCAATAAAGGAAAGAACCAACGTTACTTCCTCAAAAGTGTTTTTAGATCAGGAGTGTTTTCTTTGGGGGTGGTGTTTGTTTGTTTGTTTGTTTGTTTGAATTGAACCTTTATATGAGAATTGTTTCAGTGAATGGCACAGTAAAGGTGGCTTTAGGCTGGGCACTCTCAGGGAGTAAGCAAGACAGAATGATCTGAAGAACATGTTTTAACTTGCATCTGTTGACAACTGCATGAATAGTTCAAATGCACTGAAGCAGGCCAAGATCAGAGCTGTATAAGTAAAGACATAAATTATGTTTTGTTGTTTATGGATGTCTACTTAGAAACTTTGCTTTGTTTCCTTTGTTCTGAATTTCTAAGTAATTAATTCATGGACTGAGGGCTCCCTTAATTTTGTTGTCCTTACTGGTGATGCATAAGGTGCTGCTATAAAAAATTCTTGCAGACTACTGCCTCCAAAATAATTCCAAAGCAATTTTGCCCACAATTCTGCCTCACAGAATCTCCTTTAAAAGTAGCTTGCTTCCTCCCCTGTAGCTAGTCCCTCCAGCAGCAGCAATGATGGCAGCTGATTAGCCTGGGGCTTCTGGATCAGGAGAAATTGCCCGGGTGAGGCATAAAGCTTGGAAACGTGACAAGCTGGGTAACAGCCATCTGTGCTTTCTGAGAAGGATGGGACTCCTTTGATTGGAGTCAGCTTCTTTTGATGGAGAACGCAAAAGGGAATGGATTTTCCCTGTCCAAAGCTCCCATTGCACCCAGCTTCCTAAGCAGCGCTGGCAAGGGCATAGTGGCATTGATGGCCACGGAAGTGCCACACTGATAACCAGTTCAGTCATTTGGGCACAGGATTGCACGAGTTACCTTGCTGCCCATATCTCAGTCATAACTGGTTCCTGCTAACAAGTAGTATGTTTGGAAAAGACTGTTTGAAAGATGTCTAATACTAATTATGAAAACAAACAAACTCTAATTTACTATTTAAAAAAAGAAATGCAGAACTAAGGTATTTTTTGCTCCACAAGTTAAATTTTCATCCCACCAAACAGCTAGATTTACTTAGATCTATCTCCTTTGCTGCTGTAAATTCAGTTCTTCCCTTCGTTGTGTTAAAATAGTTGTTTCTATTAAAGTGTCCCTGCAGGTAATGCTTTTCATTGTAGGGTACAATATATATCTGTGCACATAGACAAGTTTACACTGGTATATCTGAATATGTAGGCATCTGAGAACATAATTTTCCCACTCGATTTATTTCACATGTTTTTTACTGTTTTTCTATCATGCTAGGACCCATTTCAATTGTTCATCTCCTTTGATAAATGTTCGGTTTATTTTGGTTTTATTTTCCCCCTTGTTTCCTACAATTCAGCCACCAGGAAATCTGCAGGTAAACAAAGCCCTACAGCTTAAAAGCAAAGTTTTATTGTATGCTGTGACTTCATGCATTTCACAGACTGTTATAATTCACCCAGATGCTCCATCGGTGCTATTGATGAGAAAGGCACTCAGTCTTACTGTGAAAACTTCAAGGGATGAAGTGAATCCATCATTTCACATGTACTGGATTGTTGCCTAATTTCCTCCACTGTTAAGAATGTGTCCCTTATTTCTCATTTCAAAGTATTCTATTTCACTGGTTCTTTCTTGGCTAGATTTAAAGGTCTTTTCATATTCAATGTGCAGTGTATTCTTTACATGAAATTACTGTAATCAGACTGGCATTTTTCAATCTTTTTCAGTCATTTTCCAAGATCTTCCATTCTCAAGCTAGTTTAGTGTCTGGGGTTTTACATCCTCTCAATTTTCAACACCTCTGAAAGTATGTGGGTGTAATACCTGCTCATATGATTGAACCAGTTTTTCTTGCACAGAAATACTTCTTAGTACCGTAGAATATCCATTTGGAGCTATAGGGTAGAGGAAGACATCTGAGCTGGAGTTTATCCTGGATACTGGTGTTCACCCATGAAAGCACAGTATCAGGCCCTGCTGATATGCCAAGTGCCATGGGATCAGCAAATGTTCAGGGCTTGGTAACACGGACATTACGCATGGAACAGTCACAAGCAATAATAAAGGCTGTCTTGACAAAACCATATTGTCTTTCCTTTTCTTTTGTGTAGTCAGCAGATGATGGTATCCTGCTTTCTTGTGCAGCTGAAGCAGAAAAACAACCTTTTTTAATTCATTTAATTTCCTTTTTCTTTGGGAATTTTAACATTACATTCATCTATGTTAAGTGATAGGAGCAGGGCCACCTCCTCCAGCCACCCCGGCCCAGGACCCTCCTGCACGGCTGCTGGAGCCCAGCCTGGTGCCTGGGGACTTGGGGTCTCTGCCCAGGCTGGGGGACATGGCAGCTGCTTTCTCCTTTGCAGGTGCAACCCATGGTGAAGCTGAGTGTGTATCCCAGAGACACACACATGGACACACACGGACGGACACACACACACACACAGAGGACACTGACACGGCCAGTCATTGTCTCCATGTATTGTGTTGACATGTATTGTGTAGTCTGATGAACGTAGCACAGGCTTACAAGCAGTTTTGGTAGACCCAAAATGGCATTTTTTAGATAAAAACAAAGTAGTGCATCAAAATAGTTTTCTTGACAGTAACTGTAATGAACATCCATAAATATTTGCCACTGTTATGAGTCCTCCAGGCTGTTTTCCAGTTGAATAAGAAGAGTATGATTAAGGCCAGGTATTTCTTTAGTAGTCTTATTCACTTACAAAGAATGTACAAACTCCTGTACATTCTATAAATACCATGGGAAATGGTTTCTCTTTTTGCTGTTCTTAACCTCTTCTTGTCATCAATTTGTTTGAAAGTCTTTTTTTCAGAGTAATTTTTCACCTTCAGGCTATTCCCCCTTTTCCATTTACCATATTGCCATTGTGGCAGTTAGAGTTGCAGTTTCTCACAGCTGGGCTACCAGCTTTTCCCCATGTCGAGAGAGCATCCAGATTTATTTTGCAAACAGAAAGGTCTAACAGTTAATATTTACTAACATATTGCAACCTGTGCTTTGAGTTTGGGTTTGGTTTGGTTTGGGGTTTTTTGCCATAGCTTATCATTTTCAGCTTTTTGGAAGCTTATTTAAATCAGTGAAAACTGCCAATTTCAGGAGATTTGAAACTAGGATTTTCACACATTGTTAATTTATTTATTGTTACCACACCTGACAGCAAGTTGCAAAAAAGAACAAGGCTATTCCTCTTTGCTTTACTGGATCCTGAGATATAAAATTCAGAAAGTACATAGCAAAGAACATATTGTGGATAAGAAGAAAGTCCCCTAAGAAAAAAAATAATATTCTCTCATATTTGGAAGTAGACTGTTATTAGTTATATTACCATACTAGTATGATAAAAGTAGTCATTTTATGTATCTCATAAATTGTTATATTAACTAATACAAATATGTCACATATTTTGTAAATACTTTAAAACATTGGGTGAATCTATAAAACATGAAAGCAATGTGGCTTATAGGAGGTTTTCTGCTTCTTTTTCTTAGTCTTTTTGTATCATCAGCAGCATAAACTGATGTGAGGAGAACTGAAAGAAGACTTTCTAAGTATCAGTTATAACTCTTCAGCCTAATTTTAAAAAAAAAAAAAGTGAAAGCCAAAGCATAAAAAAAAGTACTTTCACATTGTTACATGTCAAGCATCAAGCTTGAGTAAAAGTAGTTCTGAGAAGCTTGAAGTGAATTAGAAAAATGCTAGAAGAGGTAGGGTTGTACTTTTTGTGACAGCAGGTTGGAGTTAATAATTCGAGTTTTGTGCACTCTCTCTATTAAATGGACAATACCAGGGGAAGAGTTGTGTTGTAGCAGAGTGCCACGTCAGGTTCTCAACCTTACCCTAGGTAAAATTTAGTGTAGAGGAATACTGATTTTTCTCTTCTCCATGCAGATGGATCTCCTGCCTTCAGCAGAGAAGTCAGGAAGGACAAACTAAAGGCCTCCCCCAGGTTTCCCTCCCTCGGCGACATTTCAGGAAGACACCTTAAAGATCATCTAGTTCCAACACCCCTGCCGTGGGCAGGACACTTTCCACTAGACCAGGTTGCTCAAAGCCGCATCCAACCTGGCCTTGTGCACTTCCAGGGATGGGGCATCCACAACTTCTCTGGGCAACCTGTTCCAGTGTCTCACCAGTTACCAACTCATTTTCTTGGCCAAGTAGTAGGAACTACTTTATTACTATCTTATTAGAAATGGAATAAGAATTTTTTGTTGTCTTAGAAAGACCAACAATGTTCAATCTCAGGTGGGGCATGAGCTGTAATCTCTTGGCTGTGAGCTAACCAGGTAGTAGAAAGTAATCCAGGTAATAAATAAATACTCTAGGTAGTAAAAAAAAAATTTTAAAAAAGAGAGAGAAAAAGATAAATGCACTGTTCACTCCTCAGTAAAGTAAGCTTAACAGACTCTTCACATATGTAATACAGATCATATGATTTCTGCTAGCCTCAGGTATTTATAGGTTGGGTCCTCACGTACACAACACTTTGCTTCCCTGAGTCAAACCTATGTCATGGATGCATCATGACATAACAGGGGAAGACAGGGCATCATATGTCTTCTATAAACTAGCACATTTTCATTAGATAGAAACACCATCAGTGAATACTACTGCTCCCAAGCTCTATGCTGCTCAAGGTTATTTTCATTCTCAGTAACCCTGGATTACAGGTCCTTGGAGCAAAGACCCTTTGAAGTTTTGCAAAGTGGTGACAAAATTGGTGCCAGAATGAAACAGTCACATGAAAAGAAAGAAGAAAAAAAAACTTTAATTATACTCTAGGTGAAACACATTGGGGCTAGTAAAAGGTTGACTAAGTAGCCTCCAAAGACAGAGAATGCCTGTAAGTGAGATTTTGCCCTGTTATAAGTGTTGCAGTGTCCCTTTAGACTGTATAACTCCCAGCTTTAGTCTGTTTATGACAGTTTGGGTAAACAGTTCATGAGAAGCTTTCTTCAGCTAAATAAAAATAGTTCATTGACAGCTCTGCAGGAAGCTGCATATTCCTGCACTGACAGACACACTGCTCTGGGAT